TAGCAAAACTCCATGACTTGCACTACAGGGTCAGCTGTCAAAAGCCAGGCCACAGGAGAAGCCAGACCATTAATAAAAGTAAGATGGGGCTTCTTTCTGACCATCTGGGAAGAACAAGAAAGAAGAAATTGAAGACTCACTGGGCTGGCGGGCTCCTGGTCCTGTTCTACCTCCCAGGTCTCTGGGCCCCTCCAGCAAAGAGACTGAGGTAACGCAGCAGAAAGAACAGCAAACATCAAAGAAGATCCCAAAATTGTCTAGCCAGACCCTGGTGACAAAAATGTCCTGGAAGAGTTTCAGGTACTGTAAACTGAGCTGGCTCAGTGTCAACATCATATTAACGGGGAGCAATCTTTTCTCAACAAGCAAAAAAATAAAATATTTCGGTTTTGCAAATCAAACATTGTTCTTCTCTTATCTGTTTTTTTCTTTTTTTCCCACCTATATCCTCCTTTATGGCTAGTGAAGGAGAGTGTGGTTGGGGGAAAACCATGAACACACACAGAAAGCTGGCTATGAAAGCATTTCCCTTCTATTGCGTTGCTGGAGTAAGCAGGAGAAGCCAAATTCTCACAGTTCGTCAACTTTCTGTTCACGTAAACAATCTCACTTTATTTTTGAATTACTTTGTGGGAGCAGATGGCTTCCAAACGTATGACTTCTTACTACAGTATATGGAGGCATTACTACTGAACTCTTAAATTAAATTAAAAATGAAGATAACAGAGGTGTGCTTCAAGTTTGCATCTATATTGGTAGATCTAGTTTTCTATTATTGGTAGGCTTACGTGGAATTCTGACCTTCCTTTTTTTCCTCTTTCTTTTCTAGTTTTTGATGGTTTTTTTGTTTGTTTGTTTGTTTGTTTGTTTTTGTTGTTGTTAAACAATGTATATCACACACCAAAAAAACCTATCTGAAATATAACAGCAACTGAAAATTCTGGTGCATAAAAACTTTCATGCAACAAAGAAGTAGTTGCAATAACAGAAGCCTCTAGACTGCCTATAAGTTATACATAAATAAAGGCATCTGATATGTAAATATAGTTCAATTTTATGTCCTACATCCTTAAGCCTTTTATGATAGACTATAATTTTATAATTTGAAATAAACACTGCAATTAACACCAACTTACCTTAATTCCAACAACTGACACAATCATTGAAAGAGTTCACAAACAGCGATCTTGGTGACATTACCAGATCTACACGCAAGCCCAGGCCAGTTTCCACTAATGTCTCTCTAAGGCAGAGTCTAGTTTTCCAAAAAGCTAAACGAAATCTGGAAAGTAGCATCACAAACAGTTTCTTGTGAAGCATAGACAAAAACTCAAGTTATGAAGCCTAACTGACGAAGCCATAACTTCCTTAACAGAGAGTTCATAGCATTTCTGCCATTGAAATTGCCAAATCTCTGGAAAAGCATACTCAATACAGCACCCGGGGAGAGTAGACTTTGGGGAGATATGAAGAGAAAGTAAATGCTGCCCAGTCTAAACATAAAGTCTTTATACCTATATAGACAGAGATAAATAGATAGATAGATAGATAGACAGACAGACAGATAGATGTGAAGAAGGGAAAAAATACAAAAGTACACACAAAAGGGAGAAGCAACTTACAGTTAAATAAGCAATGATGAACTTGAGTAACAGGATAGAAAAAGTCTATCCTGAAGGACAGCAAGAGCAAACAGAAACTGACCTCTGAACTGATCAAAATGAACATGGATTTCAAAGGGTAGCTACCTTTTAAATGCTTACACCAAAAAAATCGCTAAACTACAACACGAAAATTTTAAGTGTGCAACAAAACTCAAAAAAAAAGAAATTTAGTCAGTTATTTAAATAAAGTTTAAAATAGTGAAGTGTGCTCAATTTTAGCCTAATAACACACACCGAAAATCAAATGAGACGTTGCAACAACTGACAAAATATCCAGTAAAATTATTTCAATGATGAAGGTCAAACTTTGGGCTGAAGTGAAACCATCAGGGTCCAATCACGATCTTGAGCATATTACCTGGCTTCTCTTAAACGCAATCTCCCCGGCAGTAAATGAGGCTACGAATAGGGTTCTAGAGAGGACTGAGAGGGATAATGCAGATAAAGTACTTGGCACACAGCAGGGTTCACACACCAAGTGCTAATCTTGGCTCTTTTGTTCAAGCTTCTCCCATTCAGCCAGTGTCACCAGTGCCACCAGGCCTGCATGGATCAGTCTTTCTTTCCCCTTCTCCCCTGCAAAAAGACCAGACCCTGACAACAAAACTATTTTCACTCAAACACCAGTAAATCAATAGGCTCAAAGTGAGGGCCTGAGTGAGAGTATTTTTCCTATGAGAGTGCGTTTGCACTGGAGAGGCCGTTTAGACATCTACTGAGCGGCCCAGGTCCTCTATGTTCCTGTGTTTGCATCTTCTGTTCAGATAAACTACACTGCCCAAGAGTGAAGCTCTGCATAGGTGGCTGCCAGAAGAGGTACTTGTACAAGGCAAACCCCATGGCCTGTACTGTAAAACGGAACAGTGAGGAAAACCTTTCTATGTCACTCCCTATCTTACAAAATGGATGAAAAAGTACACTTTACATCTTAGGTCTTCAAGGATCTTCAGTGCCGTTCTGATTTTAAGAGATATTCTGTAAACTAAATATTAACCCAGGAGAAACCACTGTCTTTATTGTATATGTTACTACTCACACTCGCCACTCTACTAGAACTCTTTATATAAAGGAAATGTCAACACTGTGCAAGCTGGAGGTAATTTTAACTCTTGCTTTATTTTGGTTTTTGCTCTTCCAAATAAGGACTGGAGCTCAGTCAATGCCTTTAGAACAAGGGCAGAATACATTGGCTTTACACCCAAAGATATTTTGCAGAAGCAATTCTTAAAGATTCAGATACTCAAATTTCATGTAAAATAGCTGACTACACTGAATACTCTTTTATATTTATTGGGTTGTCTTAAGTTTCTACAAACTTTTGGTGACATTCCCCCTCCCATAATTAATATTGCATTTGTTTTACTGGAGTTAACATTAAGTCTCTGAGTTTTAACTCTTAGAATTTTCTGAGCATGACACATGTGCAAATAAAGTTCATAATTAAAAGCTTGTAAAACTCACAACCTAAGCTCACCACAAGCAAGCAAAAGAGGAGAATTGGAATATTTGTAAGCATTTACCCCACATGGCAGGTTCTTAACCGAAAGATGTCCCTGCTTTTAAAAGCACAGGTTTTCTCAAAGAAATGCCAACACAGCAAACACATCAAGTTCACCCAGCTTTGGAAATAAACGGCAGCATAACTGAAGTAGAGGAACAACTTTCAAGCCCCCCTACTGAAGGTACAAACACATTATTGTTGGTCATGCCAGTTCCATTTTCTGCAGTCATATCCAACCTTTCCATAGTTCCTGGTACACCCTACGACAAAAGGGAAGTAGTCCTTAACAGATTTTTTTTAAGTTAATGTTTCAGGCAATTCTTGGAATAACTTCCACTTGAGAAAATGTAACTGAGAGGTCCGTCCAATCAAGAGACTCCCCAGCTGTTGACAGCTCAACTCTGGAAATTCCCTCCTTTTTTGCCCATTCCTGACTATCCCTAAATCCAAATTACCAAGTTTAATGACCCTGAAGTGCCCCTTTTGGGTCCAATGAACTCAGAACTGTCTAAATATTCACTGGGACCCTCGATAACTGTTTACTGAAGTAAGCGGGGGAAGGCACTGGAAACCTAGCTCCAAAAGCCAACTGCTTGCTCCCCTGACCCACCCCTTCCTTCCCCTACAAGAGCAAACTGGGAGATCCGGAGCCGACAGCTTATCCAGGACCCAGGGGGCCTGACACTGGGCTCACACGGTAATGACAGCCAGAAGGTCTGGGCACTGGTTCCAGAAAGGGGCACCCACTGCCCTGGGAAATGCTGGGCGCTTGGCAAGATAGGAATCCTACCCCGGGAAGCTAAACCAGATGGTAAGAAAGCAAATCAGTTGTGTAGGGATCCGAAGGCCTGAATCGCGTCCCACCACCCTCCTTCCTGTTTATAGATCCCGCTCCAGTAACTCCAACTACCAAAGAGAAAGCAGACGTCTTAGAAATATGTCAACACATGACATAACTTGAAAAAGCTGGCTGCTCATTGGCGCGAGTTACAACTTGTCGGGCTCACACAGGAAAACCGGCTCACTTTAATTACTTTTCTTTTAATAATGCCATGCCGTTCCTTCCAGGGCCCCCGCAAAGATCGGGTTACTGAGAACTAGGTAGCCTCAGTGGTAGGAACCAAACCGTGTGGGCGGTGAGCTAAAAGCAAGGAGGAACCAGGGAGCCGACCGCCGGCGAAGGGGCTGCGGATTCGGATTCACTACAGTCGCAGCGGCTCTTTCCTCGCACAGGCGCAGAAAGAGGAAGCCTGGGCACCTCCTCGCAGTCCGCACCAAGTTGCCGGATCGCTTGGCCATGTCGCGGCGGGGGGCTCGCGGCACTGCGCCGATGCCCTCGGGTCGGCCAAGGGCGCGCCACCTTTGTTTGGGTTTCCCCACCAGGACAGGCGACGCCCCGACGCAAAGACGGTTTGCCTGGGTCAGAGGCGCAGACGCGGCGCCCGGATTCCCAGCCCTGCGCCGGGCCCAGGAAGCCGGCGCGGCGGTCTCAAACATCCCACTTCCACAGCGCGCACGCGGCGCGCCCGCCAGTCCCAGCACGGCGGCCAGTGCCCCGGCGGAGCCGCCTCTGCGTGGGGAACCGGTGACCCGCACGCCCGCGGGTGCCGCGGCCGCATGCACCCCAGCTCTCCCGAGGCTGCACCACCGGTCGCCGGGCGAGGCGGGGGGTCACCGTGCCCTCTGCGGGGACCGCCTCTCCCGCACCCACGCGGTCCCTTACTCGGGAGAACATGGGTCGATGGGCTCCCTGGCGAGGCCACATCTCATACCGGCCACCGCGTCGGGGAAGGCGCGACAGACAGCCACTCACACTCACTGCCTACCCCTCTCACCTGCCTGCACCGTGTCCGAGAGGTCGTGCCCGGGAGTCGCAGTCCTGGGAAATTCCTTCAGTTTCCTGGCGCTGAGGTTCAACCCCCCGGAGTTGGCCGCTTCCTCCAGCGCGCGCTCCAGCCCCCGGTTCAAGGGCAGGTTGAAGCCCCCACTGCCGCCGCTGCTGCCTCCCCCAGCCCCGCTGTTGGCTCCGGCTCCTCCGTGGTGCTGATAGGGGTGGTGGTGGTGGTGGGGATGATGATGTGGGTGAAGAGTAGCCACCGAGAGCGCAGAGACGAAAGGTTGGGGTTCGCTTCCCAGCGTCGCCATCTTCTCCCGCCCCCCCAACCCCGCCCCGCCGCTCCTGCGGAGGGGGTCACAGCTCTTCCCCGGGAGGGGGAGTCGGCACCTCGGACCGATTCCCTGCAGTGCTCCACCGAAAGATGCTGGAAGAAGAGGAGGAGGGTGTGGCAGGCTCGCGGAAAGAAGGGCGGACGAAGAGGAGGCAGTGGCTGTTCGGTCTCGAGGGTTTCCTGTCCCCGGGAAGCTAAGGACTGCGGCGGCGGCGGCGCGGCGGCAGGCAGCGCGCATGTGTCTCCACCCGCCCCTGCGCCCTCCTCTAGGCGGCTCTCCCCTCCTCCGCCGGCAGATCTCTCCTCCTCCTTCCCCCAAGCTGTCAGTCCAGCCCCGAGACTTCCTCCGTGGCTAGCCCTGCTGGCACACGCTGCTTCGCTGATCTTGGCCCGCAATCGGGGTATGAGGGGAAGATGGGAGTATGGGGGGCTGTGCGGGGTCGTTTTCATTTAGACGCCGAACTCCTCTGGCTTGCATTTTGCTAACCAGGGGATGTGAGGGGACAAGAGGTTTTAGGGAGTCTGAGAAGACGGCGACAAGGCAATAGATGGGATTTGAAATACAGTGAGATCACGGGGAGGTGAGAGGTTATCTCAGTTCTGCGAATTATTCTGGCTCCTTGACCCGGAGTTCCCCCCAGAGGCAGTTTTCCACTGTGCTGTCAAGCCAACAGACAATCCCTGGCATTTGGGCGCCTACAGTGAGCCAGGCACTGGTCTGGGTAGTCTACATTAATTATCTCATTCATCCAGGAACCCCGTGGGGAGAAAAATTGTTTTCTCCAGTCTACAAAGGAAGTTAAGAAACTTGTCAACGTCACCCAGGCAGTCAGAGGCAGAGCTGGATTTGAGCTGGTAGCCCGCAGATTCTAGGGTTGTCCCTCCTGTGTTCTCCTAGGCCACCAGCAGACAGGAGTAGGGCAGGAGAGTGATGGTAGAAAACTGCAGACCCAGAATGGAAGGACTTTCAAAATGAGGGTAGTTTTTATGGTGGACAGAATATATTATCATATGAGGAAGGGAGGCTGCCTATGGCTGACTGAGCCCCGGAATTGGGTGATGCGGGGAGAGGTTAGAAAGCTAGTGATCCCAACAAGCCAGTAACTCAGTCATGAGTTGAACCTGTGCACAGGTCTCTTCGTGTCCTTGTGCTGCTCCTTTTCCTTGCCCCTGCGGGGCATGGAAACTGCTTGCAAGCAAGCAAATTCATGTTCTGCTCAGATCAAGGCTGGCACACCAGCTGCGATAGAACATCTGACATGTTAAGGGCATACCAGCTGGAAGACTGATAAAGTACCACTCCTTTCCGAAGTTTCAGCTCCCCCTCTTCTACCTAGGGTCTTTATTTTTGCTCTATAACCAAGGTTTAATTGTCACTGTAAGCAATTTGGCTAGGGGAAATCAAGATGCACATCAAGTAGGAAAATAATGCAACCCTTGGAGTCTGTGCAGGTCTTTTAAATGGTGATGCAGAAAGGTGATGGTCTGGGCAAAAGGCTAGAACTTGTGACTTCATGGACTTTGCACTAAAGTATGGCATGATTATGGCCACTTGTATTGACTGTATGCATAGTTACCCTTAATTCCTACAGGATTCTAGGCTGAATAAAACATTCTAATCTCCTCAGAGGAGACAAGCGCCACCTGCTGGTATCCTGTCCCCCAAATTTCCTCTCAACAACCCTTCTCCACTCAGCCTCCCAGACTTTTAAAAACCAGACTTGAATATAATAATAGTAAATGAAAGTTTACTTACATCACTTATAAAAACTAACGTACTGCCCCCTTTCTTCACTGGCTTTTCAATAGGCCAGTAGGGACAGAGAGAGAGAGAGAGAGAGAGAGAGAGAGAGAGAGAAGAATTTCAATTGAAAATCTTTAGCTAAAGCCAGGTGGTAGGTAGTCTGCCTGAGCAGTTTGCAGGGTACAGTTGAAGACATCTGGCAGACTGCAATTATAGTTAGACCATGAATTGTGGTGATGTAGCATATAGAGCATAATCTTTTTTTTTAATACCACCAATTCTTTTTTAGAAGAAATGATGGAATATGCAGGATTTGCTTTTGAACAAATAGAGTAGTCCTTATGTTAAAATGACCTACTCATTATAGCTTACTTTACCTTCTAAAGCTTTACCTTACACTTTACCTCAAAGTGTAAACTCCTTAAGGGAGGAACCTGTTCATCTTTGCAACTGCCTCCTCATATTCCAAAATCTAGAAGAGTACTTAGTATATAACAAGCACATAATGAATATTAGTAACTAAGCATTGCACAAGAGACTAAGTGTTTTACACATTGTCATTTGTTGATGCATCTTTCAAATGATGTCCCTGAATAAAGAAGTTTTTCCTTAAAATGGAGGAGAGCACTTGACCCTTGAAACTGAAATCAATTATTTCTATTCAAGAAACTCGACGAGCCATTTTCTCTTGCCATCTTGCTTCTTCATTCTTTTTTTCAATAAGGTGGATATCTCTGTTTTGTTTAATATCGTTTTTACTTCTTCTGAAAACAGTGCCCTCCTCCTGTTCCACTCTCCCTACTCTATACATATAGTCCCCCTGGAGCAGCTGTGGTACATTGACCCAAACTGGCTGCCTTGGTTAGTCCAGAAGTGGGTTTCCGACCAAATGCAAGAGCACCCAGATGATCCTGATTGTGTTCAGACCCTAGCCTAGACTATGACTGTTCCTGATTCGTAGCTTTGGTTTCTATGAGATATCCAATAAACATATTTATAATATGCTCTGCTGTTTACTTTAGTCTGTTTTATTTGATTTTCTGTCAATGCAACCAAGAGTTCCAAGTAATATATTCAATTTACCATATTTTGATCTTTATTCCCCCTTGTTTTCCTATATAGCCTTATTTTTGGATAGTCCAAAAATAATCTTCTACAAACTATTTGGATGATGCCAGCAGACTTTTTTCATGCTTTGTCTTTATAGCTTCCAATCATTTCACTAAGTTAATGGAATTCAAATTATGGAGAAAATGGGGGAAAATAGAAATAGTCTCAGCTTGAAATATTGGCTATTAGGAGAAAAAATGATCAATTTCATCAACAAATGAAAAAAATGTTAGAACCCATTTTTTAAAATTCTTCTTATGCTTAGAAAAGATAGCAGATCATAGACTTTTCCACATTTAAAACCCAACTCTTTTTTTCATGCCCGAAAAATGGAACCGTGGACAAGCTTAAGACATTCTGTCTAAGAATGGTAGATTTGGGCATAGCTGTTCAGCCCATACCACTTTCTCAGAAAATCACTGAGAAATCTGGTTTTGGTGGGAGCTTGAAGCATTTGCTGACAGGTGAGCATGGTCAGCCATGTGTGTCCTTCATGGTCCTGAATGTCCCCCTCCAGTGACAGCTAATTGGACAAGAGGGACTGACCAAGTCCAGTCATCCCAAGGCAGATGAATTCACCCATCAGACTCTCCTAAAAATGGAAGCAAAAACATACTGAGACTGTAGTCAAGTAACAACAGGCATTTGACCCCAAGGCAGACAGAATCAAGAGCTTATTCACATCTTTTCACCTTGACATTCTCCAACTTCTCCACTTTAGTTTCCCCTTTCCTAAAAAAGGAGCAAGAATAATCTCTGATTAACATGGCCCTTTTCTGGTTACTCCCTCTATATGCTATCAGCACTAAAAATCCTGTTTGTACTGTATCTGTAAATATTTAACAGTAAATATCTATAAATGATCAGGGTATGTTTGTATTCATCAGCTTTTAAGAACATCAAGGGCAGAGCTCAGGCCTTTTTTTTTTTTTAAACCTACTGCCTAGAAGATTCAATAGATAAAGTTGTCTGACTGAGATATTTGTATATTATAAGGCAACTAATAACACCAACATAAATTTCTTGGAAGATAATCAATAATACTACCTTGGACATATTTAGGAAAATTTTCCAGCATTCCAAAACACTAATTTGAACCAGTTGGTTAGTGATGCAGTGACCCTGGAAAAATGGGCAAAATTAGGGCTATGTCCTGAATTTTTCATAAAGCTGAATGCATTCAATTTCAATAATTATATGTAAACGTGAGACTGTGCCTTTCTTATTTTTTCCCCAGTGGGGGGAAAAAAAGAATAAAACAATGGTCATCATAAATTTGGGTGTTTATTAGTATATTTATTTTAAAGAAATAAAAAGTAGCTTATGAGAGCAGCTCCCAAATTAGTTTTATTAATGTTACTTATCTATGAAATCAAAAAACCTAGGAAATATTTGCTGAGACTCTTGGTTTTCTTTTTTTCTTTCTTTTTTTTTTAAGATTTTATTGGGGAATGGGGGAAGGGGATCAGACAAATTGCTGTCCTTTTGTTCTTCAGTCTAGTTGTGGAAGACATCGCTTCACTGGCCCATGTTGGTATTATTATTGCACTCTTCCCAGGTGAGGCAGATAGGTCGCTGGTCACTGGACGGCCACTCACGGTGTCTCTTGGCAGCTCACGCAGGCTGCTGATTGCTCACAGTAGCTATGGCAGCCCACTGCAGCTCCACTGCAGCCTACGCAGTCACTGGCGACTTATGGCAGCCCAGCTCCAGGTCGAGCTGTTGTTCACTATCTTAGCTGTAGAGGGCACAGCATCACTGGCCCTAATGTGGGATCCGAACCGAAGTCCTGATGCTCAGAGCTGCCATCCCAAACCAACTCTTAATCAACGCACCATTCGCCCGGCCCCTCTTGGTTTTCTTAAAATGGAATTAGTCATACTTAACTTCAGTTACCCACCTTCAAGCACTTTCTCAAGCTTTGCTCACACCAATGCCATGTGAGTCTGTGAGAGCATGGCTTGTATCTCTACCCCACCTTCTATGTTCTAGGCATTCCCATTCCAGAATGCATCACAAGTCTGAAAAGAAGATATTGCTGCCTTTGGATTTGGAAATACTTCACAGTGGATTATTGTCCAGACCCAGCTCTTTGCCTCTCTCCATCCAAAACCCCCACCAACAAAGTTCTCAAGCCCGGGTAGCAACTCATTTTTACTTCTCATGGAACAAAGTAGCAGCCGGTACTACCATGTGTCCAGTTCCTGCTCTGCCTTTCTCCGTGCTCTCTCCCAGACTAAAGTGGAGCTCTCACTCCTAGACCAGGGAGACTTTATTTACATGTTCCTTTCCACTGTAGCTTCCATTAAATAAAGAAACCACAAAATCTGGGCCATCCCGATAGGAGTTTCAGAGGCTGCCTTCTAGAATCATTCTCTAAATGACAATAGAGGAAGCTGTCTGTGAATTAATAAATTATATATGCTTTTAGTCTTCTCATAGTCTTTTCATAAATATACTTGGTCTCATGATACAATGC